ACCCCTAATCCACCACCAAGCCATTGTTTCTTTGAGATGTGTGTGTGTGTGTGTGTGTTTCCTCTGCAAACAGCATGTGGCTCGTACACAAACATGGCCGCGCGAGAACCCAAGCGTCAGCTACCCCTGTGCCTCATAATCTCTGCTTTATTTTTCCAAAGTGTTCAGAAACTAATTTCTGAAAAACTATAAACCCTATCTTTCAACCTTAGACTGGGTAGGGAAAAGTACAAATATGGGGGCTCGTCCGGGTCGTAATATTTTTTGGAAATGGGTTTTGATTTGATTGTTAATTATGCTAATAGACTCTTTTGAATGTTGTATTTACAAAGGAAGAAACCAAAGAACTGTACCGTAAGCAGACAACAAGATTGTAATAACTTAAACAGATTTTTGGGGTTATACCAGTACAATCTGTACAAGGAATAGTATGTGTTAATAATGTTCTGAGTCTTTCCTTCCTGTGACATGTGGCTCAGAGAGAAGCTACTTTTAATAGCTGAGAGTTTATGTTGAAATGCCAGATACAGTTTAAAATACAGATAAAATTCCAACCAAAATACCAATAATAATCAGGAAAAAAAACTTTATGCATAATGTGAGACTTTAAATTATAAACAAGACAGGGACTCTTATTTTGAAATGTCTGTGCTTTACTATTGCCGGCTGCTAATTCTAAAACATACTTAAAAAAAAAATGAAATATGCACTCTTACAACCATCTACAACATATTACAATATAAACCCCTAGAAAGGCTTGCCATAAATGCGCAGTATTTTCTTATTGCTAACTCCTCTGAAACTACTTTGTGCTACTTTGTAACATGCAGCCCTTATATTTATTTAATCACTTATAGCTTATTTTTTTTGCTATGCCACTAGTCCTGTTAAACTCTAGAAAACTCTAGAAAGCGAAAACTGTGCCATTGACCAATTGTAAATAAATGAGTTTGCTTTAACAATAAGCTGTTAAACAGCTGTTCTACTGCACATATTAGCTTTAGCGTGTGGGAAGATGGGCCTCAAAGTTAAGGGGCCCAACCCACAGGTGCAGGACAGCTGCCCCACCCAGACCCCGAAGACCCCGAGGGCCCGTTCCTTCTCCCTCCTTCAGACCCCGAAGACCTTCGTAAATCGCAACGACTAGCCTCCTAGCTCTGTTAAATTAACACCATTGTTGATGTGTTTCACGCAGCTGGAGTCTCTCAACCACAACTGATAGTCAGGTTTAAAAAACACCATTTACATGTTATGTTAAAATATTTTACTTCGAGGTTTATAATCTGGGAAATTTAACATTTGAAAAAAATACAAACCGCTTATTAAAGAGACACAAACATAGTTAACTAGAAGGATTTTTAAGGACAAAACGTTGAGCTTTAGCACTTTAAAATAATCTTGTCAGGACTAATTAAAGAATCATCCTCATCATATATAATCTGAAATGCTCTGAAAACACGAGCCGAGAGGTCAGAGCAGCGCATGGACACATGTCTTCCTGTCCGTCCACTGCGAGGCCTGAGATCAGCAGGAAGTAGATAATCTTCCCAGCGGAGCATGAATACTTCCAGTGAGTCACTCTCTGATTGAGGCTTTGTGTATTTTGTGACTCATTTGGCCACAAACTGCCGTGTTTGGTCCAGTTTACAAGTGTACAAACAAGCAGGTGGAGTTGACGGGGTTTTATTTTGTTTAAAACTTTTTTCTTTTCTTTTTTAAAGATCCGTAAAGAATGTAACCAACCAAGGCATTCGTTAATGAGGGAAAAATGTGTCACCAGCGTGAAAATGTAGACCTGTTGCTGCCCTCGAGTCATTCATGCTATAAAAAATTATGTAATTGCAGTGAGAATCTATAGATCTTTTAGGCCGAGATTTTTATATTGATTGCTTGGTCATAATTAAGGTATAAGTGTGATTGTTGAATCACATATATTTTCTGTACTATTTTAATCAATTAAAGGGATAGTTCACTGTGAAATTAATTTTTGGTATGTTTTAGCTTACCTCAAGGGCATCCAAGATGTAGGTGTCTTTGTTTCCGCAGTAGTTTCAATTTTGATATTTTTAGGTCAAACCGTTCTTGTCTGTCAGTCATATAATGCAGGTCTATGGTCACCACCTCAAAGAGCACGCACAGAGAAGTCCAAATTAAACATGATTTAATGACTCATAAATGTAAGTACACATTGATGTCCTTAGACACGAAACGAGCGGTTTGTGTGAGAAAACGAACAGTATTTATATCGCTTTTACCCCTTGTAAACACTGAGGGCGCCGGCGCTTCGGTCTTTTCCGGCAAGTGGAAGTGATCTCAAGCGCGTGTACGTCACTCATGCAATTGTTTTATTTTATTTATTTTTTAAATTGTTTTCTTTTACGATGGTTTAAACATCCTGGATAAGCGCAAATTAGTACCATTTTAATTAGCCGTCTTAACTACAATCTCTGTTCTGTGTAAACAATGAGTGACGTACACGCGCGGCGCTTGCCGGAAAAGACCGAAGCGCCCGCGCCCTCAGATCACTTGGACGTGGCTGTGTTTACAAGAGGTAAAAACTATATAAATACTGTTCGTTTTCTCACACAAACCGCTCGTTTCGTGTCTTAGGCCATCAATGAGTACTTACATTTACGAGTCATTAAATCATGTTTAATTTGGACTTCTCTGTGCATGCTCTTTGAGGTGGTGACCATAGACCTGCATTATATGACTGACAGACAAGAACGGTTTGACCTAAAAATATCAAAATTGAAAATACTGTGGAAACAAAGACACCTACATCTTGGATGCCCTTGAGGTAAGCTAAAACATACCAAAAATTAATTTCAAAGTGAACTATCCCTTTAAGTATGTCAAAAACACTATGACAGTGTTGCATGAAGAAAGATTTTCAGCAGGTCTGGTCACATGTATATACACCATTTCTCAGCTCATGTATATGCATCATAGGGGATTATCACGCTTCCGGGTTTCATGGGCGGGATTTGTCAACTTTGTGCATGTCCACTTCCGACGCAGTTCAACAATGGCTGAAACGAAGGCTAGATGTCACTGCTCTGTTCCACTTTGTAAATCTAACCAACAACGCTAACCCTACTTAAGTTCTCATGGATTCCCGACTGAATTGAGTATAAGGAAGAAGTGGATTAAAGCGGTTCGCCGGGATTAAGGTCCAAACTTTAAAATAAAACAAGGTAGCACGTTTGTTTGTAGCCGGCACTTTAGTGAATCAGACTAATTTACCAGGGATGCCGTATAAATAAACTTAGTGTAGTCTGTCATCAGTTCGCCAGAGTGATCGGTGATTCAACGGAAGTGGCAGTGCACAAAGATCACTGAATGCGGAAGTACTACGTATCAGCGTGATAATCCCCTATTGCTCAGCTCATGTATATACACCATTGCTCAGCTCATGTATATGCATCATTGCTCAGCTCATGTATATACACCATTGCTCAGCTCATGTATATGCATCATTTTTCAGCAAACTTGAATTTTCATACAGAGCAGAATGCGAAACTTTTTCACATGAGATTTGAACGAACCGGTGTGACCTCGCCTTTAGCTTTGCAGGTGATCAACTCTCAATAAAAAAAGTCTCCTGGTAACCAAATTTTGTAGCATAACCAATGCTGTACAAGACTTGAATTTCATTCATCATTTACCGTGTCCTGCAGATCTGCATTCCTGCAGAGCTCATTTCCGATTCTATTGAAACACACCTGAACCAGCTCATCGAGGTTGAAAATATCAGTCAAGGTTGAGATCAGATCTCCTGGAGCAGGTTTGAGCACCCCTGAACTAGACAATAAAGCCCACCCGATAATGAAAGAAACGCTAAACTGGTTTACTGGCTGAGGGACACTGGGATTGTCATTGAGCAACCGCCTGGCTGGCGCTCGTGGCCTTGCATGAAAAAATGCAGAGGAGCCAGAATTTCGTGTAGCTGCAGTTTTGAAGGGTTCACTGAGGGTGGAGGAGTGGCGAGCTGAGGGAAACACAGTACACCTGTTCCTCGAGTCACGAATCGCAGCGTTTGTTCATGGACGTTTAGAGGCGTGTGGTTACAACTGCAGGTCAAACAGCTGAGTTGAGTCCAGCCATGGCTTGAGTTGAACAATTTAAGGCAGATTCTTGCATCTTTAGCACAAGAGTTAGGATAAACATCAGACCACCAGAGAGAAACACTTGTGCATCTGGCTTTGTAACGGAGTAACTGACTTAAAGGAGCAACATGTATAGTTTTGTTGGTTGTATTTAGTTTAAATTTGCCTGTTCAAAATGCTGTCACCCAAATTGACATAATCTAATATTGTTTGACATCCAAAATGTATTTATCCACAATCCAATGGCAATTATCACATCTTACTATTACTGTTATGTATTACTCTTTTATGTTTTGGTGAATTCTTAAGAATGGGAGCGATCTCATTTGTGTGATCTGTGAAGGTTAGGTTTAGGGGTGGGGTAAGGGGTTGACCTTCATGTTTAGTTATTTTTTTTTTATTTTTTTTGAATTTTTTATCTGGTTTTTGTACAAATTGTAAGAATCCAAACAACTCATAAAATAACTAAGTTTTCTCATGAGATCGGGTTGCCTTCAGAACATATTTGAATCTAGCATTGTAGCAGGGTTAGCACAGGCAAGCATCCTTCACCAAAATCTAGCCTCCAAAGCATTGATTATATATTTTATATTATCTAATTTTTCACCCCATAACCATGTCCGTTTAGTTGCTCTGGCGAGCTTCCCCAACACTGACGCCACTGTAGTTCGACACGGCCGAGAAATCATAAGGTTTCCTCTGAAAGATAGTTGGGTTCCTTCTAAATGGGTTTTGGAGTAGATTGAAGAATCAGGCTAAAATGTCCAACATGCAAAATCAGTCACCAAAGTGTTCATAGAGTAGTTCTGATTTGCTTGACCTTCCGGACACTGTAAATGCCCTTCTGCAGAGATGTGTTTAACGTGAGCATTTGCTGTTTTTCTTGTCCAGCCACATTGAGAAGATCACCACATGGCACGACCCCAGGAAGAACCTGACCCCCTCGGTGACCCAGATGGGTCTGCACAATCAAGCCTCCACTAACGGCAACATACAGCAGCGCTCCATGGCCCTCTCTCAACCCAACCTCGGTGAGTGTGAACGCCATCCCCATTACTCGTGAAAACACACACGTTCTCTTGAGCGGTTTCAATCAGCTGGCAAGGTGTTCGTCCCAACAGCCCATGGCATTCACACACACATCTAATATCACAGCTCTGATGTGCTAGCAGATATTTCTTCTTTTGATTTTAGAGGTGTGTGCTAAGGCAAGCATCTCTATTATTACGCTCATATTAGGGCTAGAGATTTAAACGGCTCCGAGTCTTAAAGGGTTTGCTCTCCCTAAGTAAATTCTGTCATAATTTACTCACTCTCATGTTGTTCCAAACCCATAAGACCATAAGATAATCTAAGACCCAAATGAAAGAAACTTTAGAGGTTCCTTTCTGCCCCTCCATTGAAAGTCCAAGTAACCAAAACTTAAACGATCCAAAAAGGTCATATTGGTGTTGTAATATGAATCAAGCAGTTTAATCCATACATGAATAACACCACATATTACCCATGAAACCACATAGTAACTTGCTAAAAACCTTCAGAAGCTTTCCGAAATCCCCCCCTCTACCCTTTTATAGGGCATTATCTGAGAACCCATGGTGGACATAGTTGAGTGCATTCATTCCATCCCACAATGCACCACAGTATATGATGTACACTCAGCAAATAGGTGCAAAACCAGGGGTGTCAAACTCACCCCTCGTCATTCGCATTTACTTAAAAAATATTCAAATCTAGAAAACGTTTTTTTAGGCTAGGTACCAAACAAATGAAACAAAGTGTTTCATCCAGCAATTTCTTACTTTAAGTATCTGTTTATGACATGAACACTATTTGTCATGTGTGTATAACAGCACACACATCAGCCTGCCTGTTGATCAGAGGCTCTGAATGAGGTGTAGCTGCTCCTTTTTAAGGGCTCAAATGCTGATTTAATGAAGAAAGTCTCCCAGCTGGCAGAATGAAGGCTTTTAAAGCTGTCGTACTGTATGTGAGGCGTTTTGTTCAGTGTCTGCATGTTGTTTGCTCTGACTCTGTCAGTACGCTAAATGACTTCCAAATGTGCTTGCTTTGTTTGCCTTTTTTTTTTTTCAAATCCTGATTTGTGATGAAATGGAAAAAAAGGTGTGCCTCTGCTTTGCTGGCAGCCGAGACACAGATTCCAGCGAAGGGGGGTGGGGGGGATAAGAACGAGACGAGAGAGTTTGGAGGGAGAAAGATTCCTTCCAGCACTTCCAGCACATACAGTAGACGCCGACTATCTCAGCATATAGAGTTACAGTACACACTACAAAGTTTAGTCTGCAGTCACAGGAAGATATTTAATAAAAGTTACAATACTTGACTCCCAAACAAAAACCAGTGTGTGTATTGCAATAAAAAATATCAGAAAGTTTCCAGTGTGACCGTAGCACGCATCATGAGTGTGAGGAAGCGCTGGTGATGACACCTCACCGCACTGGATGTGAATAAAGCTGCTCAGCCTGAAGTAATGAACTGTGTGTGTGTGTGTGTGTAGCCCAACCTGCTACACTCGTTCAAACGGCCGTTTTCCTCCCTGATCTTCTGTAAACTCAACCATTCATTTCTGTCTTGCACGATCTTCTGATGACTCAATCGGTCTTTTTTTTTGTGTGTTTTTTTACATGGCTGTGTCATCCATTTTGGCTCACTAGAACAAGTTCAAAGGACTCACAATAGAAAGCCGTGACTCAGACCCGGGCCCTACAATCCCACAATGCATTGTTCTTTCTCTATCCCTGGCTTTTTTCAGTCTCTGGGAACTTGAGGGGCAACAGATTTCCTCTATTCTTAGTTTAGACCAGCTCGAGCCTTCACCTGTTGTGTGTATTCACGATGGGCCCCCCTCAAAATTGAGGGATTATAGGTAATTGACAGTTGACACTAATGCAGGGCCTAAGGTCCTGTTTTCCCCAGTCTTTTCCACTCCTATTTGAACTCTATAGTTTGTTCCGTATCTTTTTCTCCTTGCAGTTGATAACAATGGACATATTGCATCACACTCAGTTTTACAAGCAGCTGTTCTGCTTCTTTAGCTCTTAAGCTGAAATTAAGCCCAGCATGAATGTGTGGTTTGGGTCAATGATGTGACGCTCATTTTTAATGTATTTAAACGTACATTAAAAAGTGCAGTACATTCATACAGTGAATATACATCTTAAACGACGAGGATGCTTTTAAATTTGATACATAAATTATGTAATAGAGATGACTCTGTTTATTTGACTTTTTTTATGACAAAACAAGGATAGTTCAGGTTGTAAAATGTGCCACCAAAACTTACCGAAAACTTAATGACATTGATTAATAAGTAAAAAATTATTTAAAAAACTTTTTACTTGGTTACACCTCATGACATAATTGAAAAAGTTTAAACCCATTTAAACTTTTCTTGAAAATTGTATACTTCGTTTTTTCACATCCATGGATTTTATTCATTGGGATTTGATTGGTTCTTGAAAAGTGGTCTGTATTATATTTTATAATATTGGACACTGCTATTTGACCCTGGCTACATTAACAGAAAAGCCCATTCATTTTAGGGCCAACACAACACAAGTCATTACATTTTGATTAAAAACTCAAACCCCTACACTGTCAGAAAAAAGAAATTGCACACAACAGTTTGGCGCTGGTACCCTTAAAAGGACAATTTTGTACTTTTTTACCCATAAAAGGTGTTTATTTGTATGATGTACCCTTAAGGTGTATGTCCCTTTTAGGGGTAAATAAGGTACAAGCATGTTCCCTTAAGGGTCCTGCACCAGTGACAAGCTGCTTTGCCCCTTTGGACATTGAAGTAGTGCCGTAAATGAAGTGCTACTCTTCTGTGGTCACCGCTCTGGAGTGGGTCAGGCTGCCGGCTGATCTCTAGCTGTTGTGCTGTTGCTGAACAGGACAGTTGCCCGAGGCTTGGGAGCAGGCCGTCACCCCTCAGGGAGAAACATACTTCATTGACCACAAAACCCAGAGCACCTCATGGCTGGACCCGCGGGTGGGTGAGTACTCCCTTCTCGAGTTCCTGGAGTCCAATCAGCCCAGTAGCTTGATCCAGTCATTTAATTCTTCCACATCCTGCCGCCCCACTCAAATCCCACAGTCCCATTCTTGATCGGTTGACCCCCGTTTCCCACACTGCCACTAATCTAAACCCACAGTATGATGAAATGGCATGAGGGTGTTGTTCTAGTGCTGTGACTAGCATGTGTTGTGTTGTTGACATGTCCCCTGAGAGTGTAATGATCCACAGATGATTTGCGCTACATGCTAATACTTGTTGGCCTGATCAGTGATCATTTCCCTTATAAAAACTCAATGATCCTTGATGACCATTTCCAGGGACAATTCAAATTCTGTCATCACCATACCCTCATGTCTTTCCAAACCTTTATGACTTTCATTCTTCTGCAAAACACATTTTGACGAGTTTTTAAACTAAACAACAATGGACCACATTGACTTTCATTGTATGGACAAAACGACATGAGCGTAAGTAAATGATGACCGAATGTTCATTTTTCAATGGTACTAAATATTTTGTTTTTGCCAATGACCAACAACTGAAAGTCTGATCTAATAATTTGTATTTTTTGGTGAAAATATCTAGCCTGGAAAAACCCAGACAACTTCCGGCAAATTTAGATTTGCTCTGAAAGTTAGTCTGGCAAAGAGCTCATTCAAGCCCATTTCCAATCCGCCGAAATCGCGGCACCAATCAGAAGCGTTGGGGCGGGCTTTACACGATGAGGACAGCGCTGGGATTTTGAAGCAGATTTTGTAGCCTACATTACAAAGATGGATGCCGCCGTCGAACATCACTCGTTCCAATCAGCTTTCGCGTCTGTTTTAAGCCATTAAAACATTGGCTTTGAACAAAGCCATTGAACGTTTCCTTTTAGTTAAAAACCGAGCAAAGAACAACACTCGGAGATGTGTCTCCGCCGCTCTGCATACGTCATCTCCTTCATCGCTCTGATTGGGTTTAGGTCTATCCGCGACGTCCGTTGGTGACGCCCCTCTGGAAATGATTTGTCTATGACGCTTTGCCAGACCATAACTCAGTTACAACTGAGAATGCTCTGGTTTTAACCAGGCTAGAAAATATCTGTAAAGTTATGGATGGCTGACTGACATGTTTTGTTCCTCTAGCCTGTAAAATAAATATTAGAAATAACCTGTGCTCAATATGTTGTTTAGTTTACCCCATAAAGTTGGGGAACATTGGCATCGAGTTTCAACCTACTATTGTTCATAATTGAAGACATTAGTTACTGTCACAATATTAGATTTTCACTATATGATTATCGTGAGCAAAACAATTCACATGAATGATATTATCTCTAAAAAAAATGTACATATAAAAAAGATATTGTCAGAAGAGTAGTATCACAGTTATTGTCGATTCTGGTATACAACACCCATAGTGGAGATAGAGCTCAGACAAATATATAAATGTCCTTTTGTGTCTTTATGATATGGTATGTAGATATTCAACATAAGAAGCAATAGTGACTCATATGGACCCACTTTATAGTGTTTAATTATGTAACTTTTAAATTGCACTTATTGTGTAAATACATGTTTTTTTTTACATTGTAGTTATATTAAAAAAACTGCATGTAATTATTTTCTGGAATTGACATCTGTAATAATGCTGTTGACCCGACACCTACCCTTAACCCGCCCTTAAACCTTAACCTACCCATACCACCAAACCAAAGCCGGAAAAGTATAAAAATAGTTAGACACCTAATATAAAGTAGGACTAATATAAAGTAATGTCAATGGAGTGAGATATGGGCTTTGTTAGCTAAAACTTTTGATTACGAGCTCTTGTTGAGACAGAATGTCCTTTTAAATCTCACAGATTTTTGGGACTGGAAGTTTTTTCCTTTACTTTTTTCTTGTCGTTTTTTGCTGACCCTGTTAGACAGCTGATGCCGTTTCTGGGAAATCAATGAAACAAGAAGTTCTTTGTGGTGTAGCTTCAGCAACTCAATCGACTCTGTCCGATCTCTCTCTCTCTCTCCTCTCGTTCACGGACCTTGTTTGCTCCGCATGTGTTTTCCATCATGGGGGTTGTCGTGACACTCAGATGTCAGGAGGCCAAAGGCTGGAAGGCAGAGTGTGTCGGACGCCTCCAGAGCCACGGTTCACATCCGGACCAGCAGCTCACACTGGAACAGAGAGTAACCGAGACAGGGACACCTGTTGGACTCAGACAGTGAACCACCTGAACTCTGTCAAGGCACCTTTATTTATATAGCGCTTTACACAATGCAGATTGTTTCAAAGCAGCTTCACAGTGGTAACCTCTAGATAAATGGCATTTAAAAGTAAATGTCCGTGTCACATTTGACCTAAAAATCAAAGAAAAGAAACTGTATTTTGTATTAAATTTTAAACCTATTTTTAGGACCATTTATTATTTGCATTGAGACTACATTTTCCTCACAATTATTGGTTCAGTTTCTGCACCACAGACAACACCAGAATAATAATAACAGAATAATTCCTTTTTATATGAATACAAAGTATTTTAACGTTGACAAAATTTACCCAAGTAAGAAAATTCGGCTACACTTTATTTTAAGGTGCAATAGTTACATTGTACTTACTCAAATAATTACTGAGTAATATTAATTAACTACATGTACTTACTATAGGGTTAGGGTTTGGTTTATAGTTAGTTACTTGTAATTATGCATAATTTACTGTTAATTCTATAGTAAGTACATGTTGTAATGTGTAACTACGTCACCTTAAAATAAAGTGCCACGACATTCATATTGCATGGTAGAACTCCTCTATAACAGTTAAAAAGGTGAAGAATGACAATGTTCCTATGATTATGATGGCCATTCTAACCACTAGATGGCAGCAGAGGACCAATCCCTACATTTTGAGTCAGCTTAGACCCCATAAGCACCATGTCATAAAGGCCTTAAACCGTTTGAACCCCGGTAATTGCTGCTCGCAGCTAGATTTTACTGTTAATACTAAGTACATGTTGTAACTACGTCACCTTAAAATAGTGTTACCAAATATTCTGTCATTGTCTACTCACCCTCATGTTGTTCCAACCCTGTAACACTTTCAAGTTATTTTAATGAAACCTGAGAGATTTCTGTCCCTACATCGATAGTCCATTCCACCAAGACTTTCAAGCTTCAAAAAGTTCATGAAATAAAAGTTAAATCGAGCGGTTTAATTCAAGTCTTCGGAAGATACACAGTCACTTTATATGATGAACAGATTTAATATAGGCTTTTTTTTTCACATCACAAACATTGATTAGCAAACATGCATATAGCACATACATAGGTTGACTGAAGCCCAACCTCACTGGTTCTCCTGCATCAAGCAAGCATGTTTTGGTGGAATGGACTTTCAATGGAAGGACAGAAATCTCTCAGGTTAAAAAATATTGTCATTTGTATTTTTAAGATGAACAAAAGTATTTGGAACAACATGATGGGTAGCAATAGATTGCAGACTTTTCCTGTTTGGTTGAACTAACCCTTTAATTGTCATGGAAAATAATATCACAATGCAAAATATCTCGATGGCAATAAAAATAGTTGATGACTTCAGTGACAGAAGTAAAGTCTGAACTAGCGAATGTCTCCTCTTCATCTTACCCTATAAGGCCGTCTTTGCTTCACCTCAACTGCTCGATTGCCAAATCCTCCACCCCATCCATAAAAATGACCTTTTGAAGATCTTTTCCTTGTAAATAAATGTTCGTATATCTTTTAAATAAAGCAAACCGTCCTCAGCTCCTGCGTAGTTATGATTGTGGCGTTTAGTAAGAGTTCTGGTTTAGTTTCTTGTTTGTGTACATGATGCAGATTTGTTCGTGGTATCTCTTGACATTTTGACCTGGTTTATTGTTTTCCACACCCACTTGGATGGTTAACGTGATGTCTTCCTGTTTGCTGGACAATTGATGGCCTGAAAATGGCTATAGCAAGTCTGAAGAATCACTGCATGTAGTCTAACAAGGAAATTGGTTAAGTGCCAGTTTTAAGCCGTTCTCTTGTGCATTATGTAACTCTATCCAACAGAAATCCATTTATAGTAGAATTGTGAGACACAGAGGGTGATGGGCCTCAACTTTTTCCACCCAGTAAGTTTGATTGAGTCTTTTACACATTTAAGAAGATGTGGGTCCTGTGGATAAATGTAGGGTTGGGGGAATTGAACAAACAGACTTCGAACGTGATATTTCAAATCAAACCATTTGTTGATGAAAGGTGTGCTATCACTTATTCTATTACTTATTGACTCATTTTACTTTAAAGGAGGAACCTGAGCCATACCTATAGACAAGAAAATTATAGAGATGGGCTCTTGGGTCTGGGCTCTTTTGACTTGGGCCAGCACTTTTACATTCATGCATATGGCAGAAGCTTTTATCGATAGTGAATTACATTGCATTCATGGTACACATTTATTGCATTCCCTGGGGATCGAACCCAAGACCTTGGCATTGCTAGCATAAGTACATAGTTATTACAAATACATCAAATGGAACCCAACATTTTTCTTGAGATCTTTCATTATACAAACATCACCCTACAAACCACTTACAGTAGCAACCATTCGGAATATCTTAGCAACCACATAGCAATATGCTGATTTCACGCAGCTGCCATTTTGAAATGGCTCCGGTGGGAAGAAAACCGGAAGTGTCGCCTTTAATCATAGGAGAGTCGCGAATGCGATGCGTATTGTTGTGTTTAATGTAGAAATAATTTATTCTAAAAATGTACATACATTTCTTTCATATTTTAGACTATATACAGTGAAATTCGTTTATAAATAAAATAATTTTTTTATATATAATTCAGAACGTAAAAAAAGAAGCAGTAACGAACTACATACATATCCTATATTGGATATTAACATCCAATAGTGTAAATCGCGGCAGCAGCTTCAGGTTGGTAGTCCAAGGCATTGTTGTCTATCTGTACTTCCGGGGTTCTTCCCACCGGAG